TCCTTTGATCTCTCCTCATTTTCTTCCAACTCTTGCCCATTTATTCTAAGACTCTCCTCTTTCCATGCTCTCTCCCTCTAGCCTTGCTCCCTTTTAAATATCTATATTCCAGAGAGAGGAAGGGAGAAGGAGATAGAAACACCAATGATGAGAGAGAAACATCGATGGGCTGCCTCCTGCACGCCCCACACTGGGAGATCGAGCCTGCAACCCGGACATGTGTCCTGACCAGGAATCAAACCATGACCGCCTGGTTCATAGGTCGACACTCAACCATCTACATTTGAATATTTTAAATCTACAATATACATCCAAAGCTTTAAATGTCAAATCACAAAATGTGAGAATTTTAAATTATATTTCTGGTCATATGAATACTGAACGTAAGTCAGTTAATTGCAGGGCCTCCACCACATACAGCAGAAAATCCGTTAAGTGTAGCATTGTTCTGAGGGAATAACAGAACAAGAGAACAGAATTATACTGTATCTTAGATCTTGTAGGTCATAAGCCATGCTATTCTTTCTCTCTCCTGAGAACATTTTAAGTCAATTATGAGTTCTTTTGTTTTGAATCACTGAAGCATTCTAAAGTAATATGTCTTTCTGAAAGTAGTAAATTAATGTTCCTTCAGTGAAATTTTCACTCAAATGTCAGAACCACTACCAACTTTCTACATTATTAGTTTTACTAAAAACTTTTTTAGTTCCACAATGTGGAAATTTTTTTTAAGTCTAAATAATTCCTTATTTTTGCAAAAGCACTAATAATTGAAGTATTTTTAACAATATTATTTTTTAAAATCCTGTTAAACATATGTTTTTCTGAATTTAAAAGAATAAGATACACTTACAGGATGGAACAGAATATGGAATAGACAACACAACTGTTCTTACAGGATGGAATGCTTTCCCTCTGCAAACCACGAGGCCTAGCAGTGGGAGAAGACGTGTGTGTGCGCGCGCGCGAGGGATGGAGATGGTGTTTTTAAGGGTGGGATGGGTGACAAAAGTGGTAGGGAGATAATAAGAATCCAAGTTGTCTCAGATACTGGTGAATGCCTCTTTTTGAGCAGTCATATTGAATTAAGTGTTGTCATATAGACATACAGAATTGGATGCCTACAAGCTAAAAATTTTATCTTTTCTTCACTTTCCTTCCTCCCAACACCTGCCCCAGCACCAAAGGACACTGAAAACGACACAAAGTGGGCCAAAAATGCCATTCTTTTTTTGTGTGTTAATCCTCCCCCAAGGATATTTTTTTCCATTGATTTTTGAGATTAAAAGGGAGGGAGGGAGACATAGATTGTTTATCTCCCTGATTGGGGCGGGGGGCGGGGGGGGGGACAACCAGGGATCAAACCTGCACCCTAGGAATGGAACCTTCACACCTTCAACCCTTGCATGCATAGGCCAAGGCTCTAACCACTGAACCCCACCAACCAGGGGCAAAAATGCCATTCTTAATGTGGAAAACATACCATCTAAACATGCTTAGAAAACAAACAAACAAACAAACAAACAAACAAAGAGAGATTTCAGCGTTTCCCTGCAGAAATAACCAGTTGCAAGGCAGAAGAAACAGTGTCTGCCCTGACACCTTTCCCTTCAGCCTCATGGTCAGTGGTGGAAAGACACATACAACTCGCGAACAGGATTTAACCTTATTTCTCCCCAGGCTGGGGACAAGTCTGCTGGGAGGCTCAGTCCAGGTACAGCTGCTCATTTTGTGACTTGTGAATCTCTGATTGTTCATCTTCGCGGAAGAAAGTTATTTTCCTCTAACTGCTCATAACCAGCAATGTTTGCACAACACCAGGAATCCAGAGAATAACCGGAAGAGAAGACATTTCAGACTTCATTGCCTGCCAAGTTAACTTTCATCTTTCCCAGAAACTGTCTTTATTTTATAGCAGCGTTCTCTTTAACAGAACAAGGTCCACAGATGCAAAACCAGGACAATTAGGCCGAGACAAACTTCCGGGAGTGATTTCTTCAGGAGATGAATTGGGCGAAGCAAACATGCTTCTTCATTTGAAACATCAACACAACTACCTCGCACAGAGCCTTTTACTAACACTGGAGAAAGGCTTACGTATGTATACAGGCTGTCCCCCCAAAATGTATACACACTTTGAACAGAATCATGTTTGTGGTGACAATTATAAAGGCGGTGCTTATTAAAATACACTTCATTTGCATTTAACAGCTATCAGCTATGAAAGCCTGTATACATTTTGGGGGGACATCCTATATGTTCCATTGTGGCATTACTCACTCCTACAACGTTTTCCCAGAAAGAAAAGAAAAAAGCTTCGGTACTTGAATAAGATCTCTTTCTTTCAATGGTATCACACACCCCATTGCTCCAACATCAAGATGTGGTGTGAAGCATTTCCCATCTCAAAGAATGCCTTGTGTCCCCATGGCAGTGGGCATGCTCGGAGGCCGCCAGGATGTGGGCGTGGCCCCGATGGAGCCGGATTTCTCCGTGGACGCCGAAGCGGGACTCTGTCCGCATTTGCGCTGGTTCCACCTTCACTAAACGCTCCCCACCCTTCAGGAACACAACGCTCAACACTGGGGAATCTTTCATTTTCCCATCTTTGCACAGGAAGGAAGAACAGAGTTCGGGCAATTGTCTAATGCATTTTGGGAGGTGTTTGAATACTTTCTTTGGTTAGAAAAGTTCATGCAGGCTAAACTCAATTCTACATCGTGCCGTGGGCCCCCTCCTTTAACAAACACCCAGGACTGTTCTATCGCGGCCGGGTTTCCACACCATGGAAATGGAAAATGTTAACCAGCAAAATAGGCAGGTTTTGAGGAGGGTTGATGAGGTTGGAATTAAGTTACCAGCAAGCAAGACCCTTGTCAAAGCTGCACT